CCCCCCCCTAGGTGCGTGACGTCATTTACGGACGGCCCCTTTCCACAGATAACTAAAATTTTTCCAGTTATGGAACGTAAAAAAAATCATACATAAGACCGTATAAACATAACTTTTAATGTAGTGTTCTAAAAGTTCAAAGTAAATACAGAAGAAAGTGCATTAATCAATCCCATTAAAATAATAATAAAACATCGCAATTTTCAGCCTCTTTCATGCTGGTGGACAGAGGCTTTCTTCGGCAATCTGTTGGGGCCAAAGTGCGATAAGGTGCCAGGCTGACATTCACATCTGATTCATACCAGCGGTGACTTGGGCGCTTTTCAGGAGCAGAAATAATTCCTATCTTTGTGAAAGTTGCGTTTTATACTCATCTTGCCAGACATGCACTGCACGTGCAATTTTCACCAGTGTCTCAACTCAAGGCGTACATTTCTCCCCGTATTGAATGGACGACAGACAACTTCTTGGGTTTACCCATAACATACTTGTAAATGCTGAAAACAGAGAGTTTCTTATTTTTATATATGTCACGGTTGCTGAGCACAGGCCCAAAAATGCTAAGTAGCCAGTGACAAAACAGCACTGTTGAAAGTGTGATATATGATAATAAAAATATAAAACAATAAAATTCTCACGACGTTTCGATTGCAACACAAGCAATCATCATCAGGTGTGAAAACCACAGCAAGAAAATTTGAAAAAAGTGAATACAGAAATGTTCTTGCTGTGGTTTTCACACCTGATGATGATTGCTTGTGTTGCAATCGAAACGTCGTGAGAATTTAATTGTTTTATATTTTTATTATTTTATTGTTTCCCTTCTACGTGACTTTACCGAAAGAACCAAGAATATGAATCCCTGCAGTCACGAAAGCTTTAAATAAAAATATAACATACGAGTTAACACATTTCTCGTGTTGAATAAGGTGATGTGAACTTGGGAGAATACATCATGGGAGGAGGCAATTCCACAATCGTGCAGTGCGAGGTAAGAATCCGAAAGAGGGGTGTTGGTGGTTGAACACAGCATGTGTGTGCAACTTCTTTTTCACCGTACGTAGCCAACCGCGCTGATCTGCGGTGCGATGGATGAGACGAAACAGTGAGCCTGGTAGACAGTCCTCAACATGGGCGGAATGATCAAGGCGCAAAGTTCGTGGGAACGGTGAACTTGCCAAGTGACGGAAGGAGGCAGCTGCTGGTGAGCGAGTGACTTCACGTGGCCTCAAGGTGCACATGGCCTGGCACAAGCGTCGTGGTGACGTCACCGCCACTTAGTGGCGAATGGCGGTTGTTGTTGTTGTTGCAGTAAGTGGGCGAGCGCTGGATCACGAATCAATCAATGTGACTGATTTATGTTGAATTCTATCAAGTGCGAGTGAGGTGGGAATAGGATGTTCCACCCCAGATGTGACGAAAGTATTCCAACTTTGGCCAAATTTGTGCTTTGAATCGTAGTATTGTATGTGCATATTTTTTATATAAAAAAATATTTAAATAAGGCTTTGGCACGGAAAAGAAAACCAAACATGGTAAATGCATGCTTTATTATTTCATATGACAAGACCGATGAGATTGATAGACTGATGGGATTTTAATATTCCATGACAGGTCTGTTGAGATTGTGTACCAAGCTGATTAAATGTCTTACTCTGGCTCAGAATATCGTTTGTTGAACACGATGGGGGGGGGGGGGGTGGAGCTGTGATTAGGTTTATGTTGTTTAACGTGACCAGGTTTTTGTCACCCCAATCAATAATTGTTCCCAAGTGGGTGGTGATTGATGGTGAAGTATATGAGCATTGGGCAGATGCATGCCTATTCACTTTCAGGTAAATGATTTAAATGAATGTGATGCATGAAGGGTACTGTCATCTGCAAATGAGTGGAACATATTGTGAGTGGAAGAGAAGTCATTTATTGAGACAAAGCAGAGCCTTTCGGAACGCCAGTTAGTGGTGAAGGTACCGGACTGGCTACCTTCAGTCTCTGCACACGTTTACTTATTATTAGTGAGAAAGCCATGAATCTATGCTTTTAGATGATAGTAATTTTCGTGATTGTAAAACTAAACATGTGGCAGCACCATCCATGACCAAACGTCCCTGTTATAAAATACTGCTTACATAGAATGCATTATATGCATGATTTATAAATATACGGTTAAATACATTTAAACTAATTTCAATATATTTGTATATATTAGCTTTGTAGGTAATGCTATCATGCCAACCTACCATATTGTATATGCATATTTAGTATTTCTCATATAATCTTGATTTTCATAACTAGAATCACAGTTAAGTTGCAATTGATTCCGTCTCGAAAGGACCTTATTAACTGCACAATTACATGTATACATGAACGTCTAGCTCTATATATCGTAACCCCCATGTAATGTGACCATGCATACTACAATTCCTCCACTCCATCCAGTGCCTACCATGCGCACGTGTTCGTATGCTGTGTTGCAAATACAGCTGGGGATAAACCGGAGCGGGTGTACGACTGAAACTCTGTGATAGACAAAAGCCAATGTGATGGACAGACAATAATAAGTACCCTTGTCTGTACGGCAATAGTAACTGGGCCAGTAGATCGCTATGCCTTAGTAAAGGGGATCGTGTTGGGCTAAGTGCAATTGCTATCACTTGCAATTGCCTGGCTCCTCCCCCCCTCTCTTGCCTTACATAGCCTCTTGTCACACGCTACTCTTTTGCCCACTACAGCAAATTGTTTCTTGCTGTGGTTGTCCCATCCTGATGACGGGCGCTTGTGTTGCGCCCGAAACGTCGTGGTTTATTTTATTTTATACCTACGTGACTTTACCGAAAGAACCAAAGAGTATGGATCCCTGTAGTCACGGAAACTTCAAATCTAAATTGCTATCACCTTTGATGATTCTCTTCACCAAGACAGCCACTGTCATCGAGCGGAGCGGTAACATCGCTAACCTCTTGTTCAACCATCAATGGGCACACAACTAAAAATATCCACAACATTTTTGTTATACTTTCAACATCCTCTCAATTTATAATTGACCATTTTTACATATTGACCAATCCGAACCCATGTTTCTGAGATGTGTGCCTATGAGAGGCAGATCGCCAAAAGAGCGTTTGCATTATGCGACTCAAGACCCCTCGCCCGTGTCAGGCTAACCAGTGGTCATAAAACGCCGCACCACATCATCTCGCCCGGCACATCCACTTATCAAGACGGAATTTTACGGGTGTAACTGGTAGCAAAAACCTCATCAACAACAAATGTCATTTATCCGAGCACTTACCCAGCATGTATAATTGTTGAATTGTTAAAGTAAGTATATTTATGAATTTCAGTATATATTTGTTTCCATTGAAAGTCCTTTATCTCCAATTCACGAATTTCAGCCAGTTCACACGTTGGTGAATTGTAATGGCAGTGAACCATGACTGTTAGAATGTGCACGTAGCCATAATTAACTTAAGAGCAATGATATTAAGTGGCTAATTGATCATGCGGCTGATTAGCAATATCACAACTACATCCATATATGACTGGGTCACTCATCAAGCGACGCATGTATCCATCGCTACAACAGTTCCTGCAGTTACATCAGCTCGTTGCTTGCATGGGAACAGAGCCTGTTGTCAATGCTTTGATACGTGGGGGGGTGAAAATGAATATTCCCATCTGCTCTCACGCTGCTGTTACAAGAGTGTACATATGTAACTCTATAAACATTCAGTGTAAGTCGATTATTTTTACATTCAAATTTCATTTAAAGTCAAGTTTGCACTTTATTTTATAGTTCAGTTTCAATCAATTGCTCATTTTCTACTTCACATTTTCATTGCAGGAATGATACCCATATATTCAAGGGAATGGATACAGGATTTGCATTTATTTATAATTTATGTGGATAAATGGTTATCTTCAATTATAACTCCAAATAGCTTCACGATTTACAGCTTTCGTGACTGCATGGATTCATATTCTTGGTTCTTTCGGTAAAGTCACGTAGAAGGGAAATAATAAAATAATACAAATAAAACAATTAAATTCTCGCGACGTTTTTTCTTGCTGTGATTGTCACACCTGATGATTGCTTGTGTTGCAATCGCAACGTCGTGAGAATTTTATCTTTTTATTGTTATTATTTTATTATTTCCCGTCTACGTGAATTTACCGAAAAAACCAATAATATACATGTAATCACATATATAGTATGTACACAAATGGTGTTTTACTGTCGTGAATTGGTCCCCTAATTATACTGGAAATGATCTGCTGTTGCTGGCAAGTGTAGATGCTATTTCGACGACCATATGTTCAGGTTAGTAATACAATTTCCGTGATTTTTTTTATGATCATAGAAAATTTTAGTAAAAGGTGGTGGGGGAATAAACTAATAGTTAATCATCTTAAAAGAAGATTACATGAAACGAGTTGTCAAATATTGTTCAAATGTAGTCAATGATAAAATATGTTAATCACAACAAACATAAATATCTTTAGCACAATGGACATTCAAGTGCAAAATTGCAACGATGTTACATTTAGTATGTTGACTTTTTTCGCACCGTACATAGTCAACCGTGCTTATCGGAGCTGTCTTTGTATAATTAATCAAACACGGCCAAAAGGCCGTCCATAAATGACGTCAGGCGATTTTGGACGATTTTTGACCCCCCCCCCCTCGTCACACGGCGTCACAAAAAGTCAGACCCCCCCTCAAATGACGTCACAAAGCTCTGCCCCCACCAAAAAAAATATAAAACATGCTTCAAATCGCTTTAAACTATCGTCATTGTAGTACGTATTTAATGTGCCGCTGCACTCTGATGTTGTAGGAGAAAACATTTTTTATAAAAAAAGTCTTTTTAATTAAGTAGAACGTGTTGTCTATATTTATTCAAAGTTGCGCATTTTGATGTGACGTCACATTTCTCAAACACCCCCCCCCCCCCATCGTCACACATCGTCACAAATGTCTGACCCCCCCCTCTCCCCCTAGGTGCGTGACGTCATTTATGGACGACCCTCCAAGGCCGTAAAACCTGCACCACGGCGTTCACTCCACACGGTGTCACGCACGCGGCAGCAGCGGCAGCGTGTGGCGGGGGTGACTTTGACGCAGAGCATCGCAATATTTTGTTTAGACCGGAAGAATCCGATGAGACATGAATCTCTTAAATACATCTTTATCGGTAAAACCCATCGTAATTGGTGATGCCAATACCCGTTTTTGGAACGGATCTTTTATCTGGATAAAAAAAAAACGCTTCGGTTCACATTAATTGACCTCGTATTCGATAATTGGTGGTCCGATGAGAATTTAATCACAGAGTGATCAACTGGACTGGATCACACCTGATCAGTCGATCATCAAATGGTGACTTTTAACAGGTAAAACATGTTAACGTGCTCATTTTAATAGTATCATGATCATGTTTAAAATTCTACATTCATTTGTAATTGTAAAATTCGCTGAGCAATGAGCATCCGTGATAGGCTGCAATTGCAGATACATTGCACAATTTTTGGCTGTTAGAATAAAAAAAATACATAATAATAGCAGTTGAATCAGGAATTCTGCAACAAATCTATCCTTTTCATCATGCAAACTCATCTTGTTGAATCTGTGGGGGTTTCCTATGAACAACATACGATAGGGTTGGGGTAGACACTTGTTTTAAGTGGGACATGACGTCAATGTTCCCCCATGCAGAGTCTGTTGGGTCCGTACGGACATTGACCTCTTTATATAACCGCTGTCCCCGTTCCACACCTGTGTTTGATGACGTATCCTTGATCAGCTAACCTCTCTGGGCTCTGTGTACGTGTGCTATGAAGAAGGCCCATTGCCCAAAATGTCGCCTATTATATACTCTTAAGGCCACAGTGTTATTGACAAATGTGTTGAATTTTTTGTTATTTATCCTTGACGGGCTCTCTTGGGTTCTGTTGCTACGGCGGGGACACACTGCTGATGGCTGATCTTCCATACTGCAGGTGAAGCATGTTACCCAGAGGCTGGTGTACCTCGGCGTGTTGCCATGAATGTCAATAATCCCAGTTACCCTGTGTGCACTCATAGCAGAGCATTTCAGAACTGACCTTTCACATTTTGTTTTCCTTTGACCACTGGAACAGGCTTAGATTAAAAACAAAATTGTACAGATCTCGGCCCTGCACGTCAGATAGCAGACAATTGTGTTCATCTTTAAGTCTAAAAATAACAACTTCGTTGCGTGATGTAGAAAGATTGTACTGCAGATCCTCAAGTAAAACTGAGCCTCATTTGGACAGGCCACGAAGCTAGTTATAATTACTGGCGAAACGTCGTACTCAGATTGTAAATGTTGTGGCTTGGCTCTCCAACACACCGGTGTGGTGCTGTACTAGTGACGAATTGGCCACGTTCTGTTTACGTGACAACCCTCACTAGTTGGCTGTGTCGGGTAGTGGCGGGTTTTAACAACACATTTATATATTTACGCGATCTAACCCAAAGAAACATCTATTATGGATGATATTGGTCGCGAAAGCCTACGCGTGAAACGGTCTCATCACTGCTTCCACTCTCACGGAAAAATCCGGACTGATTTCTCGCTAAGTGGTGCTACTCATTTTTCCCCAAACATAAATAATGATGATGCAACAAAAACAATTTGTTGACACATGCACAGAGTTAACATAACCAATGAGTCAATTAAATTAACTTTACATGATAACATACCGTCACGGATACACAACAAGTACGCCTATTTAAAGCTTTCGTGACTGCAGGGATTCATATTCTTGGTTCTTTCGGTAAAGTCACGTAGAAGGGAAATAACAAAATAATAAATAAAAAACCCAATTAAATTCTCACGACGTTTCGATTGCAACACAAGCAATCATCATCAGGTGAATTTTATTGTTTTATTTTTATTATTTTGTGATTTCCCTTCTACGTGACTTTACCGAAAGAACCAAGAAAATAAGTACGCCTATGTCACGCTGTGCCTCGCGTGTGACTGGATCACGTGCCAGGCGAGGATCTGAACCAAACCCGCACTGAACCAGCGTGGTGAAGTAAGGTCACACGTTGTCCCACGGGTGGAGTGCAGCCTGAAACCCGGGGCCTCCGGCAACAACAACTCCGACCTCATCTTTAATGGCAGCATAGCATAGGAAATGTGTACGCGTAAGGAACACGAGGAATCACTGGGTGATTAACCATTGCCGCAAACACTTTGGAGACTGCGTGTGGAAAATACGTCTCGTTCAATTGGAGACAGAATAGAATCTAGATTTGAAGTTTTCGTGACTGCAGGGATCCATACTCTTTGGTTCTTTCGGTAAAGTCACGTAGGTATAACAAAATAAAATAAATTAAATCACGACGTTTCGGGCGCAACACACAAGCGTCCGTCATCAGGTGGGACAACCAAAGAGTATGGACGGAAGATAAATTAAGGAACAAACCGGGGCGTGGTCGGTTTCAGCCAACAGTAGCGACGTTGTATATTATAAGAGGGAGATATGCTCGTAATTATGGAGAGGGATTCCTACTTACAACTCGGAATTAGTTTAAGAGCTCACGAATCGTCCGGAGTTGTTTAACGCACCACACAAAAGGCTCTCAAAACACTGCGGGTAAAGCTTCATCATGCATACGCTCCAACAGAAAGCCACCGTGATTAGGATGTAGACAAAAATGTATAAGGAAACGACTGCTAAACGAGAGCGAAGTGCATTACAACATCGTAATGGGCGACAGTCATGGTAAAAGCTGGTGAAAGTTATAAAGACGAAAACATGATTGGTAAATTTGGCATTCGAAGAGGGAACGTGGGAGGTGAGCATCAACTAGAGTTCACAGTGAGGAGAGACAGATATAAAATAAATACCTTTTTCAATATATATATAAATCAGGCATCAAGTAAATAGACACGGTGACCGCGTTGATTCGAATGGACAACCCCCTACATTGTCAGAGATGTGTCTGTTCTCAACAAAATCACCACAACGGCTGCTTAACGCTGTGTGGAAGCTGCCTGGCACGTCGCTCCACACGAAGCTTCAGGTCTTCTCGGCCACAGTTATGCCCTCTCCTGCTCTCCGCTTACGAAAAGTGGACCCCTTTACAGAAATACACGCGCCGTCTTTAAACATTCATGCTGGCCTGCCTGCGATCCATCCCGGGTTTAAGCTGGCTGGATGTGTTAGACGCTCTAATTTTGTTTTAAATAGCCACTGTTTCTCGACAGCATTTTAAGATGTGGTTGCATTCAGAACTAATTCATTCTCAATTGTTTTATCCTAAATTGTCATCTTTCATTGTTATTTTTATATCTTTCCCGTATTTTTCAAAATTTTCACTCGGGGCTTTGTATTTTATCAATGTATAGCCAAGCACGTTGAGGTACTATTTGTCTTTAAGCGATGAAAAACTGAAAATCCTTCATTTGTTATTGTATTATATCCTCAGCGTCATCGTCGTCATTACATGAACGGACATCAGCACAGCAACAGCAAGCAAGCCTCGTGGTGCATGACTGCCTAATCCAGCATATTGGTGGGTCGTGCAGATTTGTAAAACTCACAAGGTTGCCAGGATATTACAAAATAGCAATTGGGTCAGTGAACCCATCTGTGGAAATGTCAGCGTTATCCCCTTATATGCGCGAGTTTTCTCTGAATACCTGAATTCCTCCTACAGGCAAAACACTTTTTAATGGATTTGGCCAACCATCCCGATGCAGGTCTCTCCTAAAAAAAGTTTTGAGAATCAAAGAGGCTTTTCTTGAGAAATACATGGCAATACTTCTCATCCCTATCATCATCACAAGCATCGTCATCAGTGTGTGCTTCCCAGTAAACATGCAGCGTTGGGCCAACGTTGGCATGTGCTAGGAAACGTTGGACCAATGTTATCCCAACGTTTCAGGTTTACTGGGTTGCAACAATTCATCTGCTTCTGACGCCATTGTGAGAGGTTCTAGCTCGTGTAATGCTGTGGTTTCTGCATGTGTTTGCAGGATGTGTGCACGCCACAGCCACACACGAAGACAGGGGAGTCAGCCACCATGCCCAAACTGTTTGCCCCAGAGTGGCCACTTTCACCAGTTTGGAGCTGGAATCACAGCACACAAGGTGTGAAAAGTTCCTGCGATTATTTAGCTTCACGATGGCCACTTCAACACAATCCGCAAGGAAAACTGAAGTGGAGCGAATGTGGTTTACTAATTATGGGAATTACCCAGAATTAATAGCAAATGTTGAAATCAAAACATATTTCCATAAAAACATCTGTAACTCAAGCAAACAATGTGGAATTATGGTCAAAAACACCTCAATTGAGCCCCAAATCTTTGAAGTGCATTTTTTTTAATGATGGCCGTCTACAGTGTCTGCCCTATCCGTTGTCTTCGTGAATACACACCCCGTAAAGACACTGATGAAGATGGAGGTAAAGTAGGCACCTGGTAAACAGCTGTTCCTTTCCTCAATCCATGCCTTTCCTTCAAACAACAAACTCGGCATTCGTTCTGGTGTGCACATTCTGCAGCGGTCAGCTTATTTTGCATGGAGTGGTTGTAGCAATCTATACGTTCCCATAGCTTATCTCTGTCAATGGAATCACACGCCGGTTTAATCCCTACAAAATAAGTAAAAATAGAATTTCCACACTCACAGCTCTTCTCTATTAACTGCCCGACAGCAGATATGTCTGCCTGAAGCACTGGTATCTTATAGAAATATGCTTGATTTTCCTTCTGCAAAATTTTCAGGAAAGATCTATTTTATTTTATACCTACGTAACTTTACCGAAAGAACAAAGAGTATGTATCCCTATTGTTAATGGTATCATAGTTGTTGTCAGTCATGTGGGAACTGTTACCTGCTCCTAGCATCGTTATCTGTGCAGTTCATCTCCCACCCCCCACCCCGCTTTGGTCAACATCTCAGCAACAAAGCCACATACTTCTATTTCTCCTCCTACTGCCTCATCACTATTTAGCTACTTTACTGCTGTGTCGACCTCAAGGTGTGACTGTGCCCTGAGATTTAACACCACTGCCTCACTGCACGGAAACTGACCTCCACCTGGTCGCACTTTGATTGAGTAAATTTTAGATTTTCCAGAACATATCCATGAAACTCGTTATGGCTGTGCCATTATAGTGATAGCAGAATAAAGCAGCAGTGATGACATTAAAGACAACAGAGACTGGTTCAGTGAGCTCTTGGCGTTACTGCAACTACTAGAGCTCAGCATGTTTCTAATTGCACGATAGACACTGGCCACAATGGAGGAAGACTTCACTCCAGATACATCGCTACATTTGAGCAGTTTTCAGAGTTTCGGAGTTACAACATCAGTTTTAGGAAGACATTTACCTCTTCCTACCGGAATATGCTTAGAATAGATCTTGTTCCTGGGAAGATGTATGGATGGGCCCTGCCGGGATCCGTGTGAGGGGTAAAACCCGTGGTTGTAATCGATTTGGTTTTGAAGCCCCTCTTCAGCTAAGGCAGTCTGCTCCGGCTGAATACAGCTGTTCCGATTCCACACAGTAACACGCTACTTATTTATGCAATATATTGTATTCTACATGGTATATATAGTGTGGGCAGCCCATCTATATTCGAGGCCCCAGGCTGCAGGCCATAAAAGCCCGTGTGTCAGTCCGGCCCTGGAGATAGGTTCATCTCAGGTTTATAGATGCAAGTAAACTAGGCTGGATTCTTTTTATCCAAAGAGTGAACATTGTTTGGATATAACATTAACAGGAGACGTCACAGTCTCACGGAAAGGATTTATTTCATTATGAGTTGGTGCACATTCAGGGTTATTTGAGATTAACGTGAAAGGTGAAATCTTAAAATTCGGGAGGGATGAGTCGTTGACATTTGTTTGGTGCCATCCTAAAAATCGGATGTTCCAAATAAAATAATAACTGCACCGTTACGATCATCACGACAGCCACAGAAAGCAGTTGTGCCGGTAAGGGAAAACTGACAGCTAGACATGCAAAACATGAATCTCTGGAAAAAAACACTTTGGAGAAAAGAAAAAAAAAGACGGTGCACCTTGTCCATTCTCGCTTGAACAAACGTCAGGCCCAAACCTGTGGGGAGAAAAAAACGCACACACGCACACATACGCATCAGGGACTCCCATCGCGGTGGTGAATAGGCGACGGTGTGAAGCAGTAGAACACAGTAAACTATTGACCCCCAGTCGGTTTTTAATTAAAGTCCCACTGAAAAAAAGACTTGTAGAGATATTTCAATCTTGATTTGAAGTTTTCGTGACTGCAGGGATCCATACTCTTTGGTTCTTTCGGTAAAGTCACGTAGGTATAAAATAAAATAAATTAAATCACGACGTTTCGGGCGCAACACAAGCGTCCGTCATCAGGTGGGACAACCACAGCAATAAACAATTGCTGAAGCGGGCAAAAGGGTTGCTGTAACAAGAGGCTATATAGGTAAGAGAGGGGGGAGGAAAAATAGGGGAGGAAGAGATAGAGAGGGGGGTGTGGGGTAAGGAGATACATTACTTTTTGTTACTCTTTGTATAAAGTATTGTAATACTGTGCGTATTTTAATATTTTTGGAACGTTGAATAATGTTGAAATACATTCATGTCAGAGCCATGAAATGATTTCTTAACAAGGTGGCCAAGCAATCCGGTGCAAGCGCTTTCTCCCACACATTCTAGTTTACTTGGTCTTCTCTGTACTTGGAGTATATAAAAGCAATGCCCTTGTTATGGCATCTTGTTCATGTTCATAGGTGGAGTGCATGACATCACTCACACGCGTAAGCGCTTGTGCTTCACGTTAGTGTCTCACACCCCACTCCATAGGGCTACATACAAACACAAACTCAACAAATTCGGCAATAACACTGTGGACTTTAAGGGGAAAATATATAATGGGTGACGTTTTGGGCAATGGGCCTGCTTCAGAGCACACAAATGGTAGCATGGCAGGTGTGCAGGCATACGCCTGAGTGAGCTTGCCTGCCGATAGTGTTGTCTTAGAGGCCAAAGAGCACGAATACGCCTCGAGGAGGTGTTTAAAATGCATTTACTGATTTGAAGAAGTGTTCAGCTGTCCTTTCATAACATCGATGAGAATCTGACTTGATTAACACCTGGTTATGTTTGGATCGGCACATTGGGTAACATTTGTTTTAATGCATCGCTCTGTTTACACACAGTAATGCAAATACAGCATCAACAGTGGTAAAACGATAGAATCTGCAGCCGTGTGAATCTACAGTGTTGTGAAATGACTGAATTGACAGTAATGTGAGTTTAGATAATTTAATAGGCTATGAATACTTAACACACTATACAATTGAACAACCATTGTGCATTATTACACAATAATTAAAATGTATCTGCTTCGTTGACGCGGAAGAGTAATCTACTGCTTGATCAGGACTCTGTGGTCAGATCTGTGAAACAGAGAATCAGATTGTATCATGTTGGAACTGGATTCGGGTCATGATCCAGAAACACATGATTGAATCTCGTTCGACCCAATCTGCCTCTCATCTCATCAGCGCTCCGAGCCTGGTGACCACCACACACCATGCTGCTGTCAGCAAAGGGCATTGCAGCAATATCTATTGCTGTACAGTACTATGCTTCCCCATCTTTACCAAGTTTAACACGCAGGAGGCTTTCGCGACCAATATCATCCATCATACATGTTTTTTAGGTTAAATCGCGTACATATATAAATGTGTCGTTAAACCCGCCACCACCCGACACAGCCAACTAGTAAGGGTTGTCACGTAAACAGAACGTGGCCAATTCGTTACTAGTGTAGTGACTGTGAATGTCACTGTCTGGTGCCGGGCTTGCGAGGCCACGGCGGATATTGTGTTGTCATTATGTGCAACTTGGTTACTGGGCGTAGTACCTGTCCTAGCAGGGCTTGGGTGAGTGCTGTTTAGCGCAGAGGCACCACGTACAGTGTGCGGTGCGGGCTCCCGGTGATGGAGCGAGAGAGTCAGCCAGCCAGGGTTAAGTTGGGGCATGATACGCTGGTTGACCTGCCGACACGTGACCGGATGATATTGGAGAGGGGACCACCAGTGGACGGGGGTCGCTGGGTGGTCACGTGGTATAGAAGAGCTCTCGGGAGCCTTCGGGAAAGGGCCAGAGAGATCGAGAAGGTGGGTGGGACGAGAGGCGGAGCCAGCCCCAGCCCGGGCCGATATAATGGCGGCCCCGTGTAGGGCTCGGGGTTTTCTTGACTGTTGGTGAGTGAACACCCACGTCGGGTTGAAGAAGCCTCTAGCCACGCGGTCCGGGACCCAGCTCGTGGTCCGGACTGGGATAGTGGGACCGTGTCTAGTTCTGCCGTAGTAGCGTGGTTAGATGGGCGTTCAACACCCGAGTGTAGATCACGTGATGCTGTGTGTTGAGTTGGTGTAATAATAAATAGTGTTGATCCCAAGACAACGTCTGCTACTCAGTTGGACTCACTACACTAGTACAGCACACCAGGTGTGTTGGAGAGCCAAGCCACAACATTTACAATCGGTACTAACCCACACTGAGTAGCATGGTGAAGTATAACTAAACAATCCCCACGACCCATTTGGCAATAGGATTGCAAAAGAGTTGTACATATGTACAGAACAAAAGCATGCAAAAGTATATGCATAGAAGCATGGCTGTCTCTTCCTACAGGTGAAATGAAAACACTAGAGTCTAAGAGCCACTGTATGTAAACAGCTTATGCTCTCCACAAACCTGACACAATATATACTGCAAAGCAACGTTCAAAAACGAGCTAACATTCCACCATCAAGATATTTTTTTCATTTAGTGTACTTTGAAAGTACAGTCGAGGAATGTTTGATTTTTGCACGATAACAATGCCAATTATTAAGCCAGGAAAGTCTCACCCAGTCTCATTACCCTTCTTCGGGAAGGGTCCTACATTGGGATGTTTGACCAATAACATTCATGGGTGGGAAGAAACTTGAGTACAGGAGAAAGCCCAAGCATACCAAGGGCGACACTCAACACTGCCACCACTTGGCTACGCAACAGCTGAACGCCTAATTCACCAAAGTACGAACCAGACTCGTGTCCGATTCCCTTCTGATCCGACAAGACAGGAAGTAATTAAAGTAACATAGTAATACATTATGACCTTGAAATGCATTTTTATTAAAATACAAACCGTTCAACAATAACGATAAAACCCCAACACACTAATCAATAACACTGCCTTAAAATTGATAGTTTTTAATGTAAAGAAACGTTACCTGTATACAGTATATAATAGGTGACGTTTTGGGAGATGACCCTTCTTCATGTGCTATGAATAAATGCCATTGCCGAAAACAGTGCCTATTTTTAAATCCTTTATATTAAGTTCGCTTGATTGCTTAGGACCGTGCAAATCTTTCGGTCGTTTTTTAACCCACTTCCCGTGATCCAATCGAGCCGACATTTTCCACACAGACTCGTTGTGCGTGACAATTAATGTTCGTGACATTTTTTTTCCAAAATTTTACACTTTTTAGGACAAAAATATTATATTTAATTACCAATTGCTTAATGGTGCAATGCAATCATCTGACCCATAGGTGGCAGCCATCTCAAGCCAGAGGACGAGAGGACTCTAGCCGCCACGCATATAAAGGATTTATAGTGAAAAACTTTGTTTTTACGGGTTATACTTATATACATTTCCTTTTAACACAGTCGTATTGACGAATGTATTGAATTGTGTGGTTTGTGCTTGTGCACTACTGCCAATGCTGCACCAGCAAATATTTAATTAGTCAATAACAACTCATCTAACAGGCCATCACATTCGTTGAAAGTTTTGGCAAGTTGCATACATTGTTGTTAAGTCCTATGGATTTAATTAACCACTTTAGTGGAGGACATTACTCACAATATAACTACAGCAATGTAGTAAAAAGTTACTCCCCCAACATTCAAGTAGTTTTTGTGCAATCTTAACAGTTCTTAAGAGTTATTATCACCGACCGATTCTTATATAAGACATCACTGCTCAGTCATACCTTAGCTGCAGGCGGCTTTTTTTTATCACTGAACACTAACCCTCCTTAAAGTGAAAAAGGCATGGTTGCAATCATACCGCCGTGTCACTTATGCCCCGGTCGGACATCGTGGTCCTTTATTATATTTTGCAATAATAGGCGTTATATAAACCCGTGATTTATTAGAACATAGATATCATGGGCTACAACACTGCTGTTTCAAAGCGGTGCTGTGTTTTGAGTTTTTCCGTTGCGTTACGAGCACCGTCAGTGTCCAGGCAGAACGTAGAGCAGGCATTCAGCAAGCAGAGCGACACGAGTTTCACTCCCTATTTCATCTGATTTCAGTATAAACACAGAGTTACTTGAAGCTTTCTGAACGGTGACTGACGATAGACCATCAAATGTGCTGCACAAATCAGGCCCCGTGATGTTCACACCGATGACCTATGACCCGAATCAGTTGACACTTGAGGTCTTTTGAGCATTTGTGGGCCTCGTCACAAAATGGGCTGCAAGTGACCGTATTTTGTACTTAAAAGCACGTTACCACCCACTCTTAAGAAGTTGTGACATGACAAAATTAACAGATACGAGGGAACATGGGAGGTCAGGTTAAGATGTTCCGTTCACTGTTTAATTATCGCTCCCACCAGGTGTGGATAATGTGATCTCGGAAGAAAAAAAAACATTAATTTCACGTCGTCTTTAGTTACCTTCAATTATTCCCACCTCGTGGGAGTGATAAATGAAGCTGTGAGAAAAGAGCACGAGGCAAGATTCATTCTTTCTAGATTTGAAGTTTTCGTGACTGCAAGGATCCATACTCTTTGGTTCTTTTTATTTTTTCACCTACGTGACTTTACCGAAAGAAGCAAAGAGTAAAGATTAATTCTCTGTCAAGGCGGCCATTCCGCGTGGAAAGGCAATTCACCTAGTGGATTTCCAGGAGCTCTGCTGAAGCGGAGCCCTCTGTCAGGCACAAATGGGCCCTTCCACAAATACGATTCTTGCTCACACCGTTTACAAGCGCAACACTGGCTCTGCCCCTGTATTAGATGAGCAAATATCGAACTGTAGCCGTGTCTACGCTTCAGTGCTGCATCTGAGGACCTCGCATAAGCTCTGAAGTTGCTCGTGCCCTACTTTGTCTAAACATGAGTTAAATAACGTAATTCATATTAATGGGACAATGTATGTGGGACCAAGAGCTCAGAAATAGCAATTGCATCTTTCTTGTCAGCTGGGAAAATGTGCATTGCAAATAACCAGGATACAAACCATGTCTCCAAGAGGAGAATTGGAACAATTTTAAATGCCCTTTGCATAAAAGAACGTTAATCCTTCCAGTTGAATTCAGTTTGATAAGCAACCTCGCTACAGTGCAGTTTACATTGAGACAAATGATTATGTTCGTGTACCCAGGAAACCCCGAGTCTGAAGACTCTTTTTCTGCCAAGTTGTTTTCGAAGTACGGGGTGGTGTAGCTGCGGTGTGTAATCCCAATTGAGTAATTTGCAGATCATTTTTCATCATTGGGGCATTTGGCCAGTACCAGTTAACATCGTGTGTTTCTCAAGTTATGGGAGAAAGACGGAAGAAAACCCATGCACAACAGAGGGAGGTGTACATACAAATCCCACGAGTCGGGAATCGAACCTAGGTGGCCCTTGCTGTGAGAAAACGAGCGCTACCAGTGCGCCACCCTGCAGCCCATTTAGCAATGCTCGCGGTCACTGGTACAACTCTTGACGAGGCTGTCGCAAGTGGCCGTTGGCTGCTGGCCCCAGGATGTGTGTGACTGTGTGTGCGTGCGCTCGGGCGCATTACCACCGTGAGTCGCCGTCGGTGGCTGGCGAGATCTGGTGTGCGGTAGTGTAGCGGTTAACGTGCTGCGCTACTAACCTTGTGAACCGGGTTCGATTCCCGCTCACGGCCAACACCGGTGACGATTATTTGAATCGGTTCTGGTGCGGCACATTAGGAATGGGACCACTCTTCTAATTATTTCCTCGTGCAGCAAGAGAGTAAAGTGTGGTTTTGTGAAAGTCCTTATGTGCTGTGCAGTACATCTATGCACGTGTGTCCACCAGCATGCGATAACAGAGTTGGGCCTGTAGGGGGCTGTGCAGGGTTATTGATTAACCGCACTTGTACACCAGTCACGTGGTTAATGGCGACTCGGTTGAGGAATGCTGTGTGTGACACACGTGCTGTTGCATTTTACAGATTAACCACAATAAATGTGTTTGCCCTCGATTTGGAGCACCTTCCCACGTCCTTCATTTCGAGTGTGCAACACTGGGCCTCCCCTAGGTCGACTCAGCCTCAAATGAGTACCTGGTGCGGTGTGTAAACATCGCCACTGGGGAGACAAAGGCGGCCGGAGGTGGTGCTGGCCACCCACCCCCTCGTGTGCCGTGCCGGCCTTTATAGGTGCTCGCTAACAGCACTTGAGCCAACAGTCTGTTACAGGCTATACAGGGGATCTTTGTCTTTGTGTGCTCGCGTGCAGTTACCTGTGCATCACCTGTCAGTGGCCGCGAGATCTGAGTTCGAAGGGAGGCCGCTTACCCTGAGCGTGTGGTCCCAGGAGCCGGTGCAGAAGGCGGTTCCGTCGGGGGAGACGCGCAGTGTGCTCACGCGGTTCTCGTGACCGAACAGGATGGAGACGCGAGATCCCTTGAGTACATCCCACACGTTGATTGTGTAGTCGTTATAGCCGGAAAACAGCAGGCGGCCTAACCACACAGTCACAACAAAGACAAAGAACCCACCCCCCCCCCCGTATAGGCTTAACACATTGTTGGGGCAAGTGCTGTTTGTGAGCACCTATGAAGGCCGGCACGGCACACGAGGGGGTGGGTGGCCACAGTGCCAGATTATCGAAGTAGCAAAAGTAGATACATATGCTACGGGCCCCGCACTAAATGCTTTCAAGCTATCAATTCCGGTTCAGTGATTCTGAACGTGCTCTATTACTATAGTACTATACCGCCTTCAACTTTTACGAACGACTGGGTGTTTAAGGTTTGCGATTTATCGTATTATCTGGCTGTTTAGCAAATCAAAAAATACAATTACTTTACTATGCAAGTTAAACATTTGTGCTTTAATATTTGTGTTTTTATTTAGGGCCCCTTTATAACATATGCTAGCAGGCCCAGCACTAGCTTAATCCGGCACTGGGTGGCCAGCACCACGAACCCGACCGTCCTTTCTCTCCCGAATGGCGATGTTCATGCACCGGCACCAGGTTCTCATTTGAGGCTGAGTCGACCTAGGGGAGGCCCAGGACCGGTTCAGATAATCGTCACTGGTGTTGGCCGTGAACGGGAATCGAACTTGGGTCGCTGGGTTCGTAGCACAGCGCATTAACTGTTGCACTACCACAATCACAACAAAGATCCCCCGATTAGCCGTAAAAGACTGTTGGGGCAAGTGCTGTTAGCGAACACCACGGTTACAATTCCACAGGCAAACACACACGCTCAGGCCAGTGCACGCGTAACACAGATACATAATAATAATAATGCAAGCACAAACGTTCACGCATTCATGAATCCAAGCACATGCTCTCGAAGGCGTATGAACGCGTTTTGTTGTTCAAATGCACATCTCAAGACTTGTATACTCGTACCAACACAACGTCATATACAAATTTACAAATACAAAGGTTGCTTTTTATAATTGCGTTCCGACTAGATACATATTTTCCTGGGCAAAACACTGTTCGTGAGCAGCTATTAGAGGTGGAACATCACCTGAGGGTGTAAACATGTCGCCTGTCAAGCCACAGTAAGTATCGACAGAACTACAGAGAGTCCCCGAGTTACGACGGTCCGACTTACGATATTTCGATCTTACGATGGCGAGAGCGATACGACAAAATTGTTAAATATTTTACACTTCGCGCGGCAGGCAAACGCAGTAGCGTACGAGGTACGATACTGTGCGTTGGGACGCTGCCGGGATGTACGCATCTCCCGCCTTGTGTGATGCAGATAGGATTGTTTCCTGAGAAACTTTCTATTAAATTGCAGTTCATATAGGTAGGCTCAGAATTTATCTTGTTTTTTTTGGTTCACATTTTACTGTGCAATACAGTATTGTAATCAATTAATACATACAGTATATAGCTTAGACAGTACGGTACTGTAAATTGCTCTGTTGTGCTAAATTCTAACCATTCTTTAAGACTCCTGGGTAGGCTAGGCCATCTTCGACTTACGATATTTTTGACTTACCATGATGGGGTCGTCGTAACGCATCTTCATCGTAAGTAGAGGACTACCTGTATTACCGAACTCCTCTAACCTGCAGCCCTATTATCTGCAACTCCTATTATATGTGGGACCTCATCTGAGTGCGACGTTTCGCCAGTAATTACAACTAGCTTCATCGAAATGTTGTGGCTTGGCTCTCCAACACACCGGTGTGCTGTACTAGTGACGAATTGTCATGTTTTATTTACGTGACAACCCTTACTAGTTGGCTGTGTCGCGTGGTGGCGGGTTAAACGACACATTTATATATTTACGCGATCGAACCCAAAACAACCTCTATTATGGATGATATTGGTCGCAGGAAGCCTACGTGTTAAAACTGAAGACATGAACCACCTTGCATCTGGCACAGTCACTTGTTTAAGAATGCATGCACCCTTGGGTATGCTCAGCACAGGTTAAGATTCCAGATGCCACCGATGTACGCGACCAGGATAATCACCACCCTACCGGTTCCCGCAGTTATGTTCACAGCACCGCTGGGGCCACTAGTCTATGGGCCCAGACCGAAAACAATCACTTATTGGTACCACCTTAGGTGTCAAAGTCTAGTCCACGTGTGTGGGACATATTCTGATATGATAACCTTTGCGGAGTGGCAGCTTAGTTGTAGTTACCATGACTTTTATACCCATACCCTATGACAGGCGTCCGGAATGATGAAATGGGCATTATTGAAAGACTACCTCGACCAAAGCCAGTTAGGTCACAAACTGGTCTTTATTTGACTTTACCGAAAGAACCAAAGAATATGGATTCCTACAGTCACGAAATCTTCAAGATCGGACTTTATTGGTTTAAATACACGATAAAAACAGAGGATAATAAGGAATACCATAGTGAGGTAAGGAACTACTTGAATACTATAAACATTGACATTCGCATATACTTAGTCAATGATACATGTAACCCCATATATCGTTAGTGATGGGTATATGTGAAGAAGGTTACATTATTGTTATCAAGCTCTGTGTGTACTTAGATGGTGTTAACAAGGGTAACCAAGTCCAGAATCACCACACTGTGCATCAATGTACTACTACCACAGTAATATCATCAGAATCACCACCCTCTGTAACTCAAACTGCTCGTCTATCTCGTCATCTGACTCCCCGAGTTCAAAGTCAGGTTCTGGATCATCCTGCAGTTTTTGGTTACTACACATCTGTAACCTGCACATGCCTGTGCATGTCAGTCAATTTGACAGGCACATGCAGCTTGGCATTTTGCATGAACACTTGCATGCTAGCAGTTCCAAGACCATATCTGGTGCGGGTGCGGAGCGCATCCAGTAAATGGCCAGCTTGCCATCATCGTCTGTCCATCCATACTCAGTAGGGCTTGGCACCACAGGGTTAGCCTGCAGACAGCACTTCCAGATTGCTGCCTGATTGTTGAACACGCACGAAGAGACAGTCTCTACATGGTGGCAGCTGGCTGGACTCGACTTCTCCCCTTTTGGTGCAGAAGAGCTGGCAGCGCAGTTCGTTCACCTCGCCAATGCTGCTGTTAGCAACGTACATGCGACAGGTGAACGGCTCAATTTTCTGGAACAGCTCGTCACTCACATTCCATGACTGCCCCAGTCGACTAAAAGTCTCTTGGCAGGAAGCGTCCTTTCTCACCATCTTCAGGGCATTCAGCTTCCCTTGACGGGCGAATGCACTGACAGTGTCGCAGCCTGTGAAGGCGTGTAAGTCAATTAGGCTGTCAGAGATGCTGTCTCCTAGTGACCTTGCCAGATTGCTGATATCGACAAACCGTGTGCGGTTCTGTGTCCCACACTTCTGGTAGATGGGACAGGTGATCATGTGGCTGAACAGATTTCTATCTGCCTTCAGAACCACATCCTGTGCTTTCTTTCCATGTGCTGTTTTTTGTGCTCATATTAGAGAATGTCTTCAGACTTTGCTTGGTCATCTTGTCGTGGAATTTCACAAGTTGGTGGGTCCTCATCTAACCTTGTTTGCTTGAATAACCTGGTAGGCCTCTTCTCCCATCTCAAGAGCTCTCAAGAGATCCCTGGTCACATCAGGTGGAGCCATAGTGCCAGTAGAGAGGCTAACGAGATCTGTCTCATCATGGGACATAGGCTTGATCAAGTTATTCTCCATAAGATCAATGAGAGAATGGACATCTGCTTCATCTCTCTTGATCCTTGGACCCTGTAGATCTGAATGGGTCAGTTTGGACCTGCCTTGACCTATCAAGTCTCTCAGCTGTCTGAGGTACATGCTTCTGTACTCAGCTGTTAGGTAATATTTGGTCACGGCTCCTGGCTTCAAGCTGAATCCCCTTGTCCCTCTGGCTGTCTGGGTGTCTATGTTCACCGTTTCTTCTATAGCTTGGTCAACAGGGATTCGGCCAACGGGATTGGTGGAGCCCAGTTGAACTGAGAAGCCTCCTTGCATGAATTCCGTGTACACATCTGGGTATGTGATGGGCAACTGAGACATCTGGGCATAGTAGTCTATGCAGTATATTCAGTCAGTTTTCACCTGTACCATACAGCACAATCAGAAATCATCATTACTTTGATGCAAAACCTGAATTCATCTGTCAGTACTTTGGTTACACATTGACGGCAGCAGAGGGTTACAACCCAAAAGCCAAACTAACATTGATGAAGGGTAAAATTCATCTTAACTAATCGTAACTAAATTAAGGGGAGGTACTACAGGTGAATAGGCAACAAAAAATTAATGTCCTTTTATCAGAATGAAAAATTACCAGATGAATATACACAAATCTAGGAGATTTTTGGTATTGTGACTTCCCCCCCAATAATTTATGCATAGCAAAGTAAATAGCCATATGTGACTAAGCTAGACGTCTGCTCCAGAGAATAAGCTTGTCAATGATATGCAATTTCACGAGGTTATTTCTTATAATGCGGAGACAAATTGCGATGAAAGATGCTAAAAAACGCTAACTTAAGACTTTGTTTACTTGGCGAAGTTTGTACAAAATTATGTGCATGTTATGAAAGTTTACAATTTATAGAAGCAGAAAATAAAAAAATATAAAATATGACAAAATGAACAGATGTAATTATTTTTGCCTGTAGTACCTGACCTTAACCAATAATCTTAACAGGTACATTAACAATACATTGAGGGTAAAGTTAGCACTTTAGATATCTTTACTGCACAGAAATAATACAGAACCACCAGTACTTGCCTCACCAGCCAGTAAATGATGATGAGCAAACAAGCTGCTAGAAACAGAAATAAAACAAGATAGCTCCAATCTATTCCAGACTTAAATAAGTCACTTAAATCGAAGAACAAGCGTGAATAAATGCAATAATATGTATGAAATACATGCCTTGGGGACAAACATCCATTTTGTAAATTATTTATTGTCTTAATTAACAGCAGAGGTGTTGGAATGTTTAATTTGTATTGTGATAGGTGCAAAAACAGGTTTCCTGCGAGAAAAATTCAACAGCTCTT